CAGGGACATGAATTCTTGCACGGACTGCTTTTTTTGTATAATAGCAGCAAGTTTTCTTCTCTGCCGGCCCAGTTCCGGTGGCAAGGTCTTGTGGTGTTCTCGTGCATGTCTGTGCCACGCGGTCGGTGTGTAGCACAGGACTTCGGATGGCCCATGTTGGTGTGTTTGGGGTGACCACGGGTACGAGTGACCGCTTGCGGTTGCTGTACGCATCGGAGGCGTTGGCAAGCGTTGCTCCTTTTGCTTGATTTCTTTTTGGGGGGACTTTGAGTATTGCATGGTAGTAGGGGAGGTCATCTGTTTTGTTCAAGAGAGGAGGCGTGTGCTTTGGGACGTATGTAGGGATGCGGCACCGTTGATGTTTTTTGACTTTGCCATTGTTAAAACATCGGTGCCTCTCACAGGCCGGGATGATCCGCCTGGCAGATGATCGGACTGTGGGGAGCAAGGCTCGGATCGGCAGTGAATTTCGGTGTCAATTTGCTCGTGAGATGAGAGACGCGGGTGTGTGTAGCTCGATGAGAAAGAAGACGAGCATATCAATCAACGCCAAATATACCGCACCAAGTACACTCGGAACACAACTCGACCAGTCAAGAGTTCTGCAGAGTGCAGTGGGAAGTGTAGATCCTACTGATGGTATAGGGCGGTGGTTGGAAACGGAGAAAAGCTGATAAGTATGGAATCATCAACAAAAGGAGAGATTTGCTTGTGGGCTGTTGCGTCTAGCATGAGCCGTACGTGGACTTGACATAACACAGGTAACATAGGTATGTTGATACAGAATATATGCACTTGGCCTCGTTTCTGTTCGTCTAGAACATCTCTCGACACTCGACAATGACTTCAGCGTACCGCGTAGTCATCGCTGCTCTGATCAACCCGATTTTGAGCTGTGCAAAATTCACAGACACCTCACAAGCAATTTGGTTTGGAGTGTACTTCATTCTGAATACTGCTCGTACCCTCAGGAGAGAAGGGAGATTATACTGAGCTCTAGAGTACATTTCCTCCGCAGCCCTTTATGCGTTCCCATCCCCCCAAAAACGCCAATGCAAATACATACGATACGAAGAACTGCTCAGCGCACACCAACAAATAGCTGGAACAGCGATCCCTCCGCGTTCCGTCTTCATTTTCAACTACATAGATATGGGTGTAGTCGTTTCCCTTCACATTGGATCCAATATCTGCTCCGCCCTTTGTGCCATTTTTTTTCAACTTCGATCACTGTAATATATGTTCCCATCATTACGTCGTTTAAGCCTTGTTCCTCATATGAGGAGGAACCCACTTGCCGGCAGTACGAGGAGGCAAAGACTCAGACTGAGGAGCAGGTGAAGATGTGTCGCCACGGTTTGAGCCACCACGGTCCATAGGGGGGGCAGCACCACGAGGGCCGCCAAAGCCTCTTGAATTAGCGGGAGGGGCAGTATTGTCTGATGATGAAGGGGCGTCGCCCTTGGCCGCTTGACGATCACGCCAGCTAGGCTTGTTGCCGGATCCGGCGAGCTGCAGACGAGGAGGACCAGAGGGGCGGTCGTTGGAATCGGTGCGTTCCATGGCAGGACCGGACCGAGATTCAGAGCCAGACGTGGCGCCAGCAGCGGCGGCGGCATTCTTGGATGCCTCACGCTCGCGCCAACTGCCGGATCCAATGACAGGAGGTTTCCGGCCTTCTGGGGTCTCTGTTCGTAAGGGCGCCGAGGGCGCCGCAGCCGCTCCCTTTTCGGCTTTCCGGCGAGCCAAGGCTTCTTCTTCACGGCGCTGCTGAAGGGCAGCTTTCTCAAGCATCTCTTGACGCTCCTTGTCTCGCTGCTCCTTGAGCTTGGCGAGTTCGGCCTTTCTCGCCTCCTCACGCTGACGTTGCTCCTCCTTCTCGCGAGCAGCACGCTCTTCAGCCTCACGAAGCTCGCGCTCCTTCTCCTCCCGCTCTCTCTTCTCCCGCAGCTTGCGGTCGCGGAACTCCTTCTTGCGAGCGGCAATCTGCTTCTCCAACTCACGCTCTGCATCTCTACGGCGTTTCTCAAACTCATCACGGCGCCTTTCATGCAGAGAGCTTCTGAAATCCTCGTAGTATGAAACAAGGCGAGTAAGGCGGTGCTTGAGCTCAACACTCTCTTTGTGCTTCTCCTCCGCCTCCTTGAGGGTCTTGGTCTTGACCTTTTCGTAGATTGCACGGTCGACTTCAACCTGCTTGGCATAGTCCTCACTTAGCTTCTTGACTTCTTCCTTACGGAAGGCACGCTCCAAATGATCAAAACGCTTGCCAGTGATGCGGAGTTTCTCATTGACGTCGTTCTTCTCACGCTCCAGCTGAGCAAGCTTCATAGCACGAAGGCGGTTGGTATCAAGGTTGTCAAGGTCATCAAGGTCAATATCCAAGACCTTGTCAGACATCTTGAGCTCGGCAATCTGCTTCTTGAGTTCATCCTTACGAACTCGGTCACGCTCAGCCTGGAGACGCTTAGCCTCGCGATCCTTTTGCTCGGCAGCCAGTCTCTTGTCCTCAGCCTCTTGAAGAGCCTGCTCACGGAGACGCTTCTGTCGGGCATTTTCCTTTTCCCGACGAGCCTGGAGCTCGGATGCTTCCTCTTTGCGCTTCTGAATAGTTTCTTTGCGGGCAAGAATGTCTTGACGCTCTTGCTCAGCGCCAGCCTTGGCTCGCTGCAGAGCAGCTTGTCTAGCAGCTGCCCGTTCCTTATTGAAGTTGGGGTCAATGTAATGGCAGGTAGTGTACAGCGATCGAGCAAGGCGAGTCAACTGTGAGCGGACAATGTCAGAGGGGGTGCTCTGCAGACGCTGGACGGTACCAGTCTCAGACTCGGCGGATCCAGCGGATCCAGCCTTGGCAGAAGAGAAGACATCGTTGTCAAAGCTGAGGACGCCAGTTGCATGGTCCATACGGATGGCAAGATCGCCCTTCTTGTTGCCATTCATGATAAACTTTTCAATAGTGCCACGGGTAACCTGGTAAGGCTCCGGGAACTGAGCAAGGGTCTCAACAAAGGACAGATCAACCGTTTCGTAGACCTGAGACAGCTGCTGGAAAAGTCGAGTAAGAATGACCTGCTGAAGAGGGACGATATATCGCTCCATCTCAGCATCTTCGCCAATCTTTGTCAAGATAGGGGAGATCTTCTGGCAGATTGACAGAGGGTGGAAGTCAACCTCCAGAATGTTGAAGAGATCCCGAATCTCAGGGCGAGCACGCTGAAGTAGGGACTTGGACAGAGCATCACGGAAGAGTCTGTTACGAGTAGGAGCTTGGGTCATACCCAGCAAGTGAGTAAGCCGGGAGTTCTTATTCTTTCTGGCCTCGTCAAAGTCGACCATGGCACCGCGAGATCGAGAAGTGCTGATGACCGGAATAGCCAGGGCAGATAGAAGGACAAAAGAAGCAGCCTTTTGAAGATCGGCATCGGAAGCAGGAGGGTTGTCGGCCTTCTTGCCCTGTCCGCTGGCAACCAGAACGGAAGACTGCCGGAGCAGAGTGTAGTATCTGGACCAGGCAGCAGCGTGGAACAGGTAGTTTTCGCCGACCAAGAAGATTCTAGTTAGCTTCTCGTAGTAGTTGGCCATCATGACATTCTTGGGAGGGCGCTTGGACAGGCTAAGAAGGGTGTGAATGTCTTCGACGCTGCGGAAGGCCTCCTGCCACAACTCGAGCTCAACGGCAACGTTTAGCTGCTGGAAACGAGTCTCGAGATGACGCTGAAGAGTATCGGGGTCGCTCAGGTTGATGGCGTGCATCTGCGAGGAGTACTTGGCAGCAGTCTGGACATGGTTTCGCAGAAGCTCGCAAAGACGGCGGAACTCGGTCTTTCGGGTATACTTGAGGCAGAAATCGAAAGCCTGCATGGCAGTGCTCTGGTAAAGAACTTCGAGACGAGCATTGTTGCGGAGGATATCGAGAACGGTTCGGTATGCTTCCCACAAGAATTTGAGCCAAGGGGTGACGATGGCACGGTCAGTGCGGTCGCGGGACTGTTCTCCAGAGACAGTAGCAAGGAGGATGGACTCCGGAGTCTCGGTGGCTTCCAAATCGTCGACATTCGTAGTAGTAGTAGCATCGATGCTAGACTGAACTTCGTCGGCCTTTTGCTGGGCAGCGGTGACCTTTTCAACGGCCAACTCGATGAATTTCTTCAAGACAAGCTGTCGAGGTGTTACTAAATTGGTGCTCTGGTTTTACTGCTTTTCTTTTTTCCCTTCCTTTGCCACGTCGTTCGGGAAGGCGAAGGGGAATGCAACGAACCTCAATAGTCCCAATATTGGTGTTCTGAGAAATATTCTTATACTGGTAAAGAGCGTCCTTGGCCAGTTTTCCCTTCTTCTGTTCGACGGACAGCTCCACCAACAGGAGCATCACAGGCTCCAGCGAGGCGATGGGAACATTTCGGGAACGCTTGCTGGTGACGTGTTCGTGAAGCAGGTTCAGGGCCGCGGGGGCCTGGTTGACGCCGATGAGCTCGTGAGCACGCTTCAGCACATTTTCGGGTTTTTGGTGCGGCGGAGGCGGCTATTTTTGGCCACGGTGGTTAGCGACGATGACGGCGACATAAGAACATGATAGCCAGGGAGGGGTAGAGGCAAGCGCCTTTCATTGTTCGTCTTTACTTCGATGATGACGTACCATGCTGGGCAACCTCCTCTGTGTGTTGGCTTTCTAAGGCGAGGAGATGTGAGGGCTATGCGTAGCCGTCGCAAGCCTGAGTGCGAATAATGGGGCACTTGGGACTCGTGGTGTTGATGCGAGGCACGGCAAAGAGGAATTTTCAATTTTCGTGTGTGGACGCTTATCCGAGCGCTGAGGGGCTGCGCTGATTGTGCGAGTCACGTGATTAAAGAGGATGATTGCCTCAGGACGCCTTCGGCCCCACCCATTGAACAAAGCTTTAGCGGCAAGTTTGAAATAGGACTCGTCGATTTGTCCTTGCGAGCCATAACCGAGAAACCTTGAGAGGAAGCCGTATATCGGCTAGTGGCCTTGTATCATCATGGCTGACGACACGCCAAGACGATCTCGTTCTCAGTCACCAGCCCGCCGAGGACCACGACCCAAACGCGGCGGGTTTAGATGGAAGGACAATATCCGACGAAATGACGATCGAGATGATGGACATCGTCGAGACTTCCGCGATCGCTCTAGAGATAGGGACAGAGGGCGAGGTTACCGAGACAGAAATCGTGACCGGGATCATGACCGGGATCATGACAGAACTAGGGACAGGCCTGGGGATAGAGACAGGAATCGCGACCGCAATCGCGACCGCAATCGCGACAGCAACCATAGAGTACCAGACCGATTACGGTCACCTCGTCGAAACGACCGAGACTCTTCCGAAAAAGCGGATGGAAGAAAGGAGAAGACCGGCAAGCCTACACCGGCTTCGGCAACCGGAGGCGAGGAAATGATTATTGTCCATGTTAATGACCGCTTGGGAAGCAAGTCTGCTGTCCCATGCCTACCCTCTGATACGGTTGGTCAGTTCAAGATCATGGTGGCAGCTCGAATTGGGCGTGAGCCCAGTCAAATTATGCTACGGAGACAGGGAGAACGGCCATTCAAAGACCACATTACGCTGGAAGACTATGGGATCTCGAACGGCGTTCAACTGGACCTGGAGATTGACACAGGCGATTGAAGAGACTACAGCTCACATCCGACCCATGCAAAAAGCGAAGCACGGCACCGTTTGTATTTGCACCAACTCAAACACTCGAAGACTTGCATGCTGGAAACACTCCAACCAACCATGGCGTTCTGGAAAGGGAGAGCGCCAGTACTGAACAGTTCGTTGCTGGCGTGGCATGTAAGTAGTAGCATAAGGTGTGCCCTGGCTATGTCATCTGCATAGAATTGCAGTCTGCAGTCTTGCGGTCCAACGATGAAGCTGACCATTTCAAAAAAAAAGGGGGAAGGGGGGTGGGGAAAGAGTCAAGCTTGCAATTATGCACCACGATCACCCGCTGTTATTAGCCTGTACATCTGCCGGTCTTTTGCTCCCAGCTGGATCAAAGGAAGCATAAGGCACTAGATAAAAATAGGCCGAGACATACGGCGTAGAAATGCATGCATCCTACCTGACACATCGCCGCATTCCAACGCATAACTTATCGTATCTATCCCATACTGTCTGCAGGAAACTCGAGTTCTACAAAAGGTACTCCGTAGACGCAATGTAAAACAGCCTTCTAGGCCTTGTTCTTATTAGTAATTTTTTTTTTTTCCTCTCACGTTAAATGAGAATAGAAGCATAATATAAGTATCGTGCAGGCACAACATCTGGTAACACAGTATTAGGCTATATTAAGCTAAGAACAGTAAAAGACCAGAAAAATAAAATATTTACGTATCGTGACGCGTCAGACACAACCGCATCATTGGTGCTCTATTGCGGCCCGCTAGCTGAAGCCATCTCGCGATAACCTTAGCCACCGTCATCATAGAAGCAAATTGATGCCGGTGACTCACGCCGAAAACCTGAAATGGCCACACACGTAGTATATTAGCGAGGTCTGCCCTCGTCCGCATTTCAAGTCAACCCCGTTCCTCTCCATCTCAGTTATTCTTCTGCTATCAAGACCCAACACAACTATCCGTGAGCCCCTGCCTCCACGCTAATCTCCCACAAGCACTTACTGACATCGCCCACAGCGATTAAATCTCACTACCATATAAAAATAACATGACCAAAGGTGGCAAGAAGCCCAATACAAGTTGCCTGTTCTAAGCTTTAGGGGTTAAAGCTAACAAGGAGGGGGCAAAAACAACACTATAACCATTGGAAGCCCTTTATAGTAAAAGAGACGCCAACCTCAACGCAAAAAATCCCGATTCCATCCTTGAAGCTTACAACGGGTAACTTACTTGTATTGGGCTTCTTGCCACCTTTGGTCATGTTGTTTTTATATAGTAGTGATTCGATAGCTGTGGGCGATGTCAGCAAGTGAGTGGTTGTAATGCTTGTGGGAGATTTGTGTGGAGGCAGGGACTCCCGAATAATTGTGTTGGGTCTTGATAGCAGAAGAGGCAGATGACTTGGATGGAGAGGAACGGGGTGGACTTGGAATGCAGACGAGGGCAGACCTCGCTGATATACTGCGTGTGTGGCCATTTTAGGTTCTCGTTCTTATTACCGTGGTACTCGTGGCGTGATGCTGCTGAACCCTTATTGTCTCATTTCTGGCGTCACGACCGCCGACCCCGAAGGCAAGCAAGGCAAGGCAGAGAGTACGTAGTGGTAGCACGGAGTACAGAGCAAAGGGAAAGAATCCTCGGCACACAGCTTGATAGGTCCATGAAGCATTCAAAGCGGCAACAGCCGCACATGTACATTCCAAGAGGAAGACACTGGAGTCATCAGAATCAAATTTCCCTTCCAGACGAGGTGGCGGGGCAAATTGAAAAGAGCGGCGACGGCGCTAAACCATGAGCGGAGTGGTCTGTAGCCAGTGAGCCAATGAGAGCGAGGCAAAGCAGCCAACTGTTCCCCTTGCTTGGCTTCAATTTCAACGCGGGTTGTACTCCATAGATATGTCAGCTTTACAGAGGAGACGTGAGACGGGGCATGACAGAATGTAAGTATGATGATCGAAAGGGGAGAAATCGGTGGACTGCGGAAGAAGCAATCAAGCCTGAAAAATAGAGAGAGCATGTGGGATCTATCCCTTTGACTGCGCGCAGGTCCAATTGATGTAGCGGACCCACCCTTCTGCGATACTTAAGAAGATACTTATTAAACAACAAGGTTAGCCACCTAACCTAATGTAGCTTTTTGTAAATTTCAGAATTAATAGTACTTCTATTACCACGGTATTTATCAGAGGGGCTTTGTACCTTCTAATTTAGTCTTTCCTATTGGTCAGAATCCTTGCTCGGTACGAAAAATGGACCTGCGCGCAGTCAAAGGGATGGAGTAGTACGATACTGCGGAGTATGTCCTACTTCGTTCAAACGGCAGAGCAGTTGAGCTTGGCATCTTTTTTTGGTGGTGCTTGAGCTCCACCCGCGCGCCCGGCACACCTGCAGAATGAAGGAGGAGTGAACGAGCTTGGGCTACTCCTGCCACTCCTGCTCTCCATTGGTCCATTTGTTCTATTTGGTTGGAGCTAAGGGGTCAAGAGGCAAAGAGGGCCGACAGCATAGAGATGACAGCTGGAGACGATGGGCGGTGGGCATGCTAATTTGCCCGGCATCCTAAGGCCCAGATGCCAGTTGGTCCCAGCGCGGCTACATGTATTTCTGCCCCCGAGCCAGCATGAAGCACAGGAGACCAGTCCACTGGCTGCCCACCAGCGACGTGCCGCCCACTGGTTGCTGGCCACTGGTTGCTGGCCACTGCCCGCTGCTGCAGCACTCACCCCCCCACCGGTGCCAGTTTCTGCTTCAAGTCCTGCCTGGTCCTTTCTTCTTCTCCTCCTCCCCCATTCCCTTCATCTCCCCTCAGCGCCTCTGTCAATTTATTGCTCGCGATCCTCCAGGGCCTGATCGATCGGTAAGTGGCCTATTTCTATTCATTCACATTGCGATTGCACAGCTTTGAGAGATTTTTTCTTCGCATTCGACGGGCAGACGTGTTTTTTCCCAAGCAACTTTCCGCGGACGAATAAGGGGGGCCGGAAACTAGGCGTGGGCAATTTGAGCTTCGACTCTCTGTTCTGCTCGCCAACTTGGGGGAACCAGACAACAACAATACCATCACCCATCCATGATTTCACGTCCTTGCATCCTAGCACCACTTGCACGACACAGTACTACCCAGCCAACGTTGTCGCTGCGCCTTGTCGTCGTCGAGTGCGGCACATATCGGCTGTTTTTGCCTTGGCCATTGCTCGCAGCCTGGTCTTTGTTCAGTCATTCAGTGTCGTCTCGTCTTGTCACCAGCCAAACCCTAGCCTAAATCCATAATCGACAATTCAAGCCTCTGAGAAGAGTCGTACTTTGAGTGGCTGATTGACCGCTGTACGATACGTCTCACTAACGCCTGGCTGCATCCAATTTAGTTTTGTCCGCGACTCGGTCGGTATCTTCGCGCTTGGATTGTTTTGTCTGCCGCGTCCGCCGCCCGCCAGATTTGCGTCCTCAAGACTACGCAGACTTCGCCCTCGGCACCTCGTATCTAATTGACGCTCGACTCGAATTTAATTTTGCGTCGGTCCTTTCCTTCCGCCATCAAGATGCCTCAGTACACCTCGCGAGATGTCGGCGACCCGTCGCAGATCAAAAAGACGAAACAGTCCATGGCAGACCTAAAACTGAGACGGTTAACAGAGCTCAACAACCGCCTGCGAGAGGACTTGGAGCGCGAGCGTATTCCGATCAGCACAGCTGCCAAGAGGTGAGAAAATACCCTGATGAACAAGGCGACCAGTACATGCAAGTAACTTGGTCTGCACGACAACACTCTTGGGGTGGGAATAGAAACTGACACTACCTGCGTTCTGCAAACAGCATCATTGCTTACTGCAATGGAACAAGGGATTACATGGTCCCATCCGTATGGGGTTCGGTTCCTAAGGGCGAGGATCCCTACGCACCACAACAATCTGGCGGCTGCTGTGTCGTCATGTAAATCAGTGTTTCTCGTCGATTTTCTCGCGGTAGACGGCAAAATTTTACCAGCCAACGACCTGCTACGATGGGTATTTGTTCTTGTTTATTATCAATGGCTGGGAGGTGCGGCATGCACCGGCGCCGGCCGCAGCAGCGATCAGTCCCCTAACGTGTTCTATATCTTAATCCGGAACGGTGCGCTTGGAGGCGAAGGGCGAGGAGAATTTTCGGACGGGTGGGTGGGAAAGACGGATACGGCGTACCAAATTACACAATTTTCACACAAACATACTCGTCATGATCCTTGGCTGGGACCATGGATAGAGAGCCCTCTCGAAGCTTTTGTGCCGAGTTAGCACAGAGGCAGCATACCCTCGAGCGGCAAATGAAGAGCAAAACAACAAGGGAAAAGAGGAGAGCAAGGCGACGCGTCTGGAAATATGGTCATTGGCGACGCATATACTTGGAATTCTGTTTATTCCATCGACCCATTGACTGCGCAACAATATAAAAGAGCCCCAGGAAGACAAGAAGCGAAACACTTCGCTGTCTTGCCTCATCCGTGCGCGGGGGTACAGACGCAGCCATGTGAGGGCAAGAAGAGGCAAACATGGGCCTGGGAGTACCGGCTCTTCAGCATGTATTAATTCCCTTTTTTTCTTACTGGTTTTTTTTCTTTGTGTCCGTTATGTCTGCGTATCTATTCATGTTTGGTACACAATCAAGTTCAATAAATGTTCAAGCACAAGTGACCATGCTCAAGATTCATTGAAACTGGCTTCGCCGCTATTTGTCGTGAAAGCACATCTATCTCACATGTTCCTAACTTTCAAGTCCCAATGCGCCACAAATGAATCGAAACAACTCTTGGCAAAGCGACGTGTAGCTTGTTATCTTGGCAAGCCTGCTCCTTGCTTCAAAACTCAGCAGCCAGGTTCTAAGTCCAGGCCACCCGGAACCGATCTCCGAATAGCCGGCCTATGCTTCGTCGTAGCACCAAATCCAAGTCTGATCTGAGCCACAAAGCAGGACCTCTGCTAGGCTTACAAATCTTCGGCATTGGCCTCTGGTCGTTCTGCCTGTCTGGTACTCCGTACAACGACGACATCCGTGGAAACAGTGGAGCGGCTAATTCGAAGTGGATTCAAATGTTAATCTGGATGCGCCCGCGGACGACACCCTCTCGATACAATAACGTTACTTACACCGCGTTCACATCCACCACTGGACCATTCGAATTCGTCGCCCTCACGCGCCAGGATCTTTTCTAGTGATCCAGGCTAACGCAGCATCGGGGAGCACACACTCGGCACCAGAGCAGTGCATTCCCATCACACAAGCCAAAAGAAAAAAGAAAAAAAAAATGGCCGAGCCGACCAGCGCGCCTGCACACGCAGACTACGAAACTCGGTTCCCGCGAGTGACTATCCAGTTCTGCACACAATGCAAATGGATGCTCCGGGCGGCCTACGTACGTCTCTTGTCCCCCCCTGCGTTGCACACGCGCCCCTCGTTCCACGTCCACGTCTCTTCACCGGTGCCGGCGCGCCTCGCACGTTGGTTGTGAAAACGCCGTCTTGCGAAGCAGAGCAAAGAGACTAATTTTCAAGAACCAGTTCGCCCAGGAGCTCCTGTCCACGTTCTCCACATCCCTGGGCGAGGTGTCGCTGCAGCCCTCGACGGGGGGCACCTTCGTCGTGACCATCCACCACCAGCCGCGGGACCAGGCGCCCCGGGCTGTGAGCACCGTGCTCTGGGACAGGAAGACGGACGGCGGGTTCCCCGAGACCAAGGAACTCAAGCGGCGGGTGAGGGATGTCATCGAGCCGGGGCGGGACCTGGGACACGTCGACCGGCATCGTTCCGCTCACGCTGCGAGCAAGACGGCCGGTGAATCGACTGAGGGCGCAGACGGAGCGGGTGGCCCTGCTGCTGCTGCTGCTGCTTCCGGGGCGGCCATGACGGACACGCCTTGTGAGGATTGCAAGTAGGCCGCGGGGATGGCTTCGCGGAACGGCTTTCCAACCCCGTTGCCACGTCCTATCTCGCGCGTATACGTCAAGCCAGACAGACTAGTCGACGACGAAGAGCGTGGGCAGGTAGGGGCGGCGTGGGCATGAGACAATGCCCAACGACAATCAATGGGTTGGTGTGACTCGAGTCGGGGTTCTCATCAAGCTCTCCCGCGGCCTGGCAGCTGCTAGTTATCACATCGTGGAGACATCTTTGAAAATGGCAGCCTTGACAAGAAGCCAAGTTAATTTATTGTGCACCCAGCCTGACTACCTGGGTACCTAGCATGGAGGACTCTGTTAAAAACCCATCCGGTGGTCAACACCGAACTGGCTAGCCGAGCCACGGTCAAGCAGCGAATACTCCGAGTATTGTATGCTTTAGTCATACTTTACTTTTTTGCCACTCTCTCCTACCTGTATGTATTATGTGGTGAATCATAATACCGTGATACGTCGTCATTCCGAGGCCCGCTGTGTAGCAACACCGACGGAAGTAGGGTTCGGGGCTCGGCGATCGACTGCCCCCTGTCCAAAAACAAACCGACGTCACATTTGGACACGACGTCATGTATGTCAAATTTGTATATTGTATAATGAGCTAGAAGAAACAGCCATTCGTCGTGATCAAGTTCGCATTGAGCATTAGAGACGATTCGGGCTGCCCGAATAGATTTTTCGTTCTGCCATTCCGCCGAACCCCCCGGCAGGCGTCCTCCCAACGTATACACACGGCCAAAGGAAAAAGGAAAAAAAAATACATATATAAGCCAGGAGAACACTTCCACAGAAAAGGTGCGGCAAATAGTTTCCCGTACAACCCGAGGCAACCAACCCAGCATGCTCACGGCCGCGAACACCAGCGACGGCGCGAGTCGCAAATTACGAGCTGCATGTGCAACACGCATTCACGTGGAGAGATGTAGAGATCGAGATTCGACAGAGAGAGAGCGGTGGGGGTCAAAAACAAGTCGGATGCGGTGAGACAAAAATCGGGGCTTTATAGTGGCACGTCGGCGGATGTTGGATCAAATCGGTGTCGTGGGCAAGTCATCCGTCGATGTAGGTGGTACAATTCAAGTCTTAGCGTCGTCCGAACCTAGAAGAGAGCAATCATGTTCGTATAAACTCGTTCATTTCTTTTGTTTCACTATTTGGACTTGTATTTGGGAGTGACTGGTTTGCTTCCGCTCCCGAGACCACCGTAAACGTACTTTTGTTTCTTCTCAGCTGGCTTGAGAATCTACAATTGTTTGGTTAGTGTGTCGCCGTTGCAACCCATTGTGAACAAAGGTATAGGACTAACCTGGAACGAGCAGAGCAAACTCTCGTCGACGCTCATCATGGCTCCGGCGTTATCAAACTCTCCGCAGTAGTTGGGCGCACTGAACAAAGTTACCAGCTGGCGCTTGGAGAAGAATTCGTAGCCGTCTTCGACAACCTGATGGGCACGGCAAATGAGGTCCATGTCGTGCTTTTGCAGGAACCGAGAGACAACATCAGGTCCAAAGGTGAAGGAAACACCTCGGTCGTTCTCACTCCAGCCAGTAATGTCCTTGTCAGGATCCGACCAGAGCAGATCGCAAAGTAAACCACAGTCAGGAATCTAGACAGGTTAGCACCATGTCCAGACTAATAATAACCCAGAGATAACAGCTGGATGCTGGGTACAAGGGGGGATGGGGATGGGGTAATGGCGTACATCCGTTGGTCGCATGACACGTCTAATCTGCTCCATTGAGTTCAGGTCGGGGCTGAGACCGCCGTGCATAGTGAAAATCTTCTCATCAATAATAGCGGCAATGGGAAGGCAGTTGAAACAATCGGTGAAAGTTTTCCACAGCTTAATATTGTAGCGACGCTTGCACTCATCGTAGAAACCGTAGATACGGTTGATGGAGGCACACTCGTGGTTACCTCGCAAGATGAAAAAGTTCTCCGGATACTTGATTTTGTAGGCGAGCAAAAGGCAGATTGTCTCGAGAGACTGCTTGCCTCTGTCTACGTAGTCACCCAAGAAGAGGTAATTGGCCTCGGGAGGAAAACCACCGTACTCAAAGAGTCGGAGCAAGTCATAATATTGACCATGAATATCGCCACAAATCTGCCAGTGTCAGTCAGCAATGGCATAGGGGTACAACGGCCAGTGCCAGGCAATATACCTTGATGGGGGCCTCCAGCTCGAGCAGGATGGGCTGGGAGATGAAGATCTCGCGAGCTTTGGTACACAGGTATCGAATCTCGGCTTCGAGCAGCTGGACCTGCTTTCCTGGGCGGCTGCCACGCACCTCGAGCAGGCGGTCGATTATGGAATCGAGGTCGACCTCGTGTTGGTCAGCCATACTAGAGAGATCCCTTTGGCGAGGGATTGCCCGCGGGTACCGGAGAGGTGGGCGGCGTTGGCGCGTGAAAAACGAATCACTAGATGCAAGCCGATGCGCAGGAGGTGGCGGCTGAGGGGGGAACGTGCGATCAAGGCTGGTGGTGGAGTGCTGATATTACGATGCACTTCAAGATCTGGACGACGTCAGCAGTTAGTAAACCAGCCATCAGGTAGCGGTGCGCGTGTCAAGAATCACGACGGCGGCAGTGTGTCGGTGCTCTCAGAAAGACGGCAATGAGGGAGAGGAAAGCGAAAAATAGGGTGCACGACATTTCGGTCGCAAAATTTCTCGGGTACGTGATGGACGAGAGCACATCCAATGCGGAGGACGAGACATCACCCACGGATGGCGTAGTCGGACGGCGAATGGTGGGAGGAGACCAGAGACGCCAACAAGAAAAAACAGCACCAAGGAGCGACTTACCGAGAAGTGATCACAGCTCGGGGTAGAGGAGCCTCGTAGGCGGCGGAGCGAGCGGAATGGATATATCCCCGATGAAAAAAATGTATATAGCTAACGGGACGCAGTCGATGAGATCAATCTCAATACGGGCAAACAGACACGGTCGCAAGGTCTGTATCGTCGTCGAGGGGTGTTGCCTTGAAGGGCGGTCGTCGGCAGGA